TCAAGCGTCCTACTGACTCCCCTTCTGCACCTTTGATTCTATGCACTTTATAGCAAACGAATCTGTACTGCAGCACTATCTCTTCTACAATCAGTCCCCTATATCTCCTTCTCACCCGCTATTGACCCACTCCCCCTCTTTTTTGCTTAAAAGACGATGGACGATTGGACGACACCAGCAGCGTTGAAAGAGCAGCCGTGTTCCACGATCTTGACACCTACCTGGATGCCCAACTAATGAACATAAACTTCCTGGACCTGCCGGATGGCACCTGGGTGAGTTTCATGGATGGTTTGACCATTTGCTGGTGCCCCCAGCGAACCGGACATAAGCCGCCGGATGCCCCCCTTTGCCTCTCAATCGGAAAGGCTCATTTTTGGGAGGGAGTAGTACTTATCACAGGAGGAGAAAGATTTGCGTATGCAGGAGAAATACAGTGCAGTATAACCTTGCAGGTGGAATTATCTACGTAGGACAAGTCAAGACTAACGAAATACTCAGAGTATATTGACGCCACAGGATTTTGCGACCTCTCATCCGACTGCGTATGGTAATTGCTGCGGTCAGGGCCCGAGAAATGAGACCCAAGGCAGAGCGGGACAAAAAAGTTCCGTTAGCGGTCGCTGAAGGTTCATCACCTAGCATCAATATTAACCGACCTAAACCGCCACAACAACGGACTCGTAGCTCAGTGGTTATGGCGTTTGACCCTGATCAAAAAGGTCGCGAGTTCGAGCCTCGAGTGGTACACCACTTGGGCCTGGGTCTGACTGGCTGACGGCGGCTACCAAGCCAGAAATGGCCAAATCATGTCAATACTTTCGAACGTAGGAGAGCAGGGACAAGGTTTGGATGCGACCAGCGCTCTAACTACCTTTGCTACGACACTTCAGCAGAGATGGATGACAATTGCCTGTACTCAAGCCTTGCCCTTATTGTTTTGTGCTCCAACCCCATCAGGGTCCCAGAGGTTTTCACAATTAGATCGAATGAACCATTCAAATCTATCAAAAACACCTTATAGAATCCTACTTTAGGTCCCAGATCAGCACACGAAAGCCCCATCCTTCTGCAATACAGTTCCCGGTGTAATAAGACGAATACAATCTGGGCAATACAAAGAAAAGGGGGCAGATGTATGGTTGGTAGCGGTCTTGTATACATGAAGCCCGAGGTTTCTGTCAGGAATATCAACAAACCCAGTTAAGTATAAAGTATAAGTAAGTAAAAAGATCCAAATTTGTCACACCCAAGAAACAATAAGTAAATAAGAAATGTAGGCAAATTTCGGTGTTTATTTATGGCGCGATATTTTGTTGCGAAAACATTAAATTATTTAAACAATTTCTGGGACCCAAAGTAGGATTCTACCAAACACCTATTAGTATTTATTGGAAGATTCAACTATTCATCTACTTCTACTTACCAGACAGACGGAATCTACCGTACCGGTCTGACCATCTTCATTTAGAAATTTAGTTGAATTTAATTATTTTTCCGCTTTCTCTTTTCCTTTCACAGGAGGACGAAACA